GGAGGCTAGGAGGAGTAGAGGATGTACAGCAGACAATAGAGGTGACTTTGCATACAGGAGGCTAGGGTCAGGGCTGGGCCATGGACCAGGTGGAATCTGATGACTTCTGAGCTGTGTGTACAATTTTCCGAAGGAGAAGGGGCAGGACTGGATACTGAGCAGGAGACAGAAGGGAGGAGGGGCACGATGTCCAAGCCGTACTATGCTCTGGCTGCCTAGTGGCACGTAGGCAGCTCACAGAGATGGATCCAGGCAGAGTAGAGGGTTTGGAGAGCCAAGGCTCATGGCTGATGCCCTCTGTGTATCTGTGGGGCCGTCTGTTTCTGGAGATTCAGTTTCCTGATGGGAGGTAGATCCTGCCTGCTGGTGGGAAATGCTCCCGGGGATTCAGGTGTGTTGAGTTGTTTCCTCCACATTCCCTCATCCTGCAGGAAGCCCAGTGAATACATCGCCACCATCCTGGAGCTCAGTGCCCTCATACAAAAAAGAGGCGAGAACATCCTCTTGTACATGGACTTCCTGTACTTTCTCACCCGCGATGGGCGGCGCTTCCGGGAGGCCTGCCGCCTGGTGCACAACTTCACAGATGCCGTCATCCAGGAGCGACGCCGCATCCTGCCCAGTCAGGGTCTTGATGACTTCCTCAAGGCCAAAGCCAAGACCAAGACTTTGCACTTCATTGATGTGCTCCTGCTGAGCAAGGTGGGCTTCCTGGGACCTGAACTCAAGAGATAGAATGGGGAGCTTCATGCCAATGTCAAATCCAAGAACTTGGACTTGACCTAGTGGGCTCTGGGGAGCATGGAAATTATTGGAGTCCGGAGGGGACCCACTCCCAAATTCCTGCTGGGGCAATGCAATGTTTTTACCTCTTAGTGCACCAGAATTTCCACCACAGCAGAGGGGCCCCAATATTATGAATTTTGGAGCTCATAGAGAACAGCTCGCACATCTGTGCCTTCCTCCAGCCAGAGAGCGAGAGAGAGAGAACTTTGTTCTGGAGTATAAACTAGTCTCCAGTGAGAAGGAAATGACTATGGGTTTATAAGCCAAATGCCTTCAGGGGAGATAAGATTCTCTGTGTTTACCATGCTAGAATGTGAGCAAATATCTTTGGAGCAACACTTGATTTCTGAGCTCCAAGGCAAATTGTCCTTTACACGTCCTGAAACCCAGGTTGCCAGCAACTTTTTCCCCAAAAGTGCTCATTATACAGAAACATGAAAATATTCATGGGCCACTGATTAATCCCACCAGGGATAAAAGAAAGAGGGGCAAGGCAGGCAGCGAGGAAGCCCTTCAGACGAGGGCTCTGGCTATGGTGTCCAGGAGAGATCCAGGAGTAAAGGGTGGGTTTGTGTTTCTGGGAGGAGGATGCATCTTCAGACATTGTCTCAGGTCAGACTCAGGAGACTCAGAGCTAGTGGGATTTGTTGGGTTTTGCTTTCTCTCCAGGATGAAGGTGGAAGGCAGTTGTCAGATGAGGAGATAAGAGCGGAGGCTGATACCTTCATGTTTGGGGGTGAGGGTCCCAGTGTGGGGACAGGGGTCTCTCCATTCCACGGATGAGGTGGGTGGACGCAGATACTCCATCCTTCCTATCCTCCCTGAGAGCCTCCTTGCAAGGGCGCTGTCCACCCTCTGGTGCTGAAGCAGTTCAGAGACTCACCTCAACCTTCTTGCACCTCAGGCCATGACACCACGGCCAGTGG